ATGTTATTGAACAGAACATCCGAAATAATCGCAATTCAAGAAGAGAGGTGAAGAAACAGAAATTTTCATAGACTATTTCATCTTAAAGAGGCATAGGTTCGTCAAAAAGTTATGAGTTCGTAATATTCAGATTGCGAACAAACATATTTCGTCCGAATATGTTCAAATATAGACAAAACCGGACATAGCTTGCATTGACAATATTCGTAGTCTTCTGTAATAAGCCCAAATAGAATCTCACATTTCCCCACGAAGAAAAACTTTCTAAGTTGGAATACTTTAATATAATTTTCTTCCAAAACTAATCTCACTTTGATAATTTTTTGTAAATGTCGAAAAGAGGACGAAATAACTTCGATATGACTTTTATACATAGAAATTCTACGAAAGTTTTACTTCTCCAAGTAACAATTCTAAAAATGGCGATTATGGTGTCTTGATCAAGGTTCGACGGATCTGAAATTCTGCAAGAGACTATTTTAAAAAATATTGTTAGAAAACATGTTGAAAGTCTTCCATCTGAAAGTATTTATGCAAGAGAATTGAAAACAGAAAAACTATTGTGTATTAGTTTTGACAAAAATCAATAAAAACTAAATACGCCATAGCTTTGATAAGCGTTTTAATATGCTGCAGTGTCTGCACAGTGTTTTCATCGAGTATAACTTTATCGTCATATACCTTGTGCAGTCTCTTCAACATATCAAACACATTTATTTAACAGTTGAAAAATTGTTGAGATGGCACAGAAAAGTTGTATTTTAATACGTATATTGACTGGATGGATTAAATAGAAATACTGCAGGAACAGTTTTCTGTAGAACTTCTCCATATTTAGAGATATGTTTATATGCTCATGCCAGGTACGTGTTCTTTCTTAACTACTGTCTCCTTGTAGATTGAAATGGCTTCTATGGATGATAACGTTAAATTGATCAAATACACCCCTCGTAGAGCGACTGTTTTCGACAACACAAACGAGGAGCTCAAAACAATTCTAAATGCCCAAAATGCAAGAAACGTTCAAAATGATATTCTCAATCGAATAAAAATTTATACGTTTCGACAGAATATGTATGAGTTTTTCTTTTTTATGTAAGATATCATCGTAGTTACTCTTTTCTAGGAAATTTTGTTACTGGTCAATGTTGGGTTTCATACCCAAACCTATCTTTGCGTTACCTATGATTACAAGTATACTTACGATCATAGGCATACTGGTAGTTTGTTTTACCGCACCGAAATCTTCAAGTACGTAATTATTGCTTTGTATTTTTCGTATTCAATACGATAAAAATCCATAGTTAATTCGGTTATGTTTTACCAGTCTTATGAGTTTTAGTTAAAAAACTTTGAATTGTGATAAAATATGTGATATCGACATGTCAGAAGCAAATCATCAAGCAAGGACAGATCATAGACATTAAATTGCTTTACTTTTCCATTTTAAAGTAACAATGACGAATGCGAACCAATCGAGATGATCATCACTGAAAGATCTAATGCTTTTTCCATGAGCCGGATCCTTTCATTTTACTTATTGGTAGTGACTATCGGTTAGAAAAGAATTTCAGAAAGAATCTTCCCAGTACTACTTTGTTCTAAAGAAAACAGAATAAGAAGTTTCTCTAGAATATAGATTATTGCGTTTTCTATATTTTTTTTCCACACATCGATAAAACAGAAATTTCACAATCTGATTTTTTACAAGTTGATGTTACACATTGGTACTTGTTGCAGAAAAATCAGTCTTACCGAATTCAATGCTCTTGAATCACTTTTTCTATTATTTTTGGTGGTATTCTTTCACATCTCTGAATGGAATCAGCACCTTATCCTGGATGCCTCTTTCTCTATCTCATCAACATATTTTTCGATATAGTAGAAGCGCGAAAGAATAATAGAAAATACAGACGATTTTCTCATGGAACGTGACGAGAGTAGATACTTCTTCTTCACAGAACACATCTTTAAATTTTCTCACTTTATATTACTTCCAGACGAGAGTAAGTAGTATATGTTCCATTTATATCTTCTTTCGTTCTGCTAGTATGCTCTGATACAATCGCTTTACTTTTGTCTTTCTGTATGACTCATGCATGTTCTATGTCATATTTACCACTGAGTTCTCATATCTTTATCATATCCCAGCGAATTATTTTCGTTACCACGGTTCAAAACACTAAAATTTTGTATATGCATTATAAAGCTGAGAAAAATATTTATCACTATTTGTGATTGAACAGATCGATATAAATCATTGATTGCTTACTGTACGAAAAGCAGTAGAAATAAATAGTTGCATGCTTGTCACTCAAAAACTATCGGTGAACATGCGTAGTCCATATGACGGAATTACTGACAAATACACTAATTATGATAGGTCGTCTTCATGCATGATTAGTCAGTCAGTAGATTCACATTCGCACCTCGAGCGTCACAATTTTGTTCATTGTTATTCTCAAGCATTCGTAGAAGACTTTGTTATATTTTGTTTGTTATTCAAAATTACTAATCCAAAATAGTGATCGGATCACTGAGAGCATTACACAACAGAACAGCTTCGATATCCGTTTGATTCTGAAACAGTGTGGCACAGCGCAGTTTTTGAACGAATTCTACAGTAAATCAGAAGATGAGAACAGACAAGTAGCTTGATTGATGAATTTCCATATTTAACTTTATCTGAATTCGAAGAAACTAAGCAGAGTTCTTTTGAAAGATGATGATTATGAATTGTCTCTAAATAGAATCATATGATAACTACTGACAACATAAGATAGTAATTGTGATAATTCAAAACAACCTAGGAAGAATAGTTCTACTGGAGCAAACAATCAGTCATCTCATTCTTTTTCATGTATCGTTTAGTTCCAAAGTGCGGTCTCAATTTCAAACCAACGGCTCAAAAGCCAATTGAATATAAGTATGGTCCACGATCTGTCGCCATCGGCGATTTTGACAATGACACCGTTTTGGATATGGTTATTGCCAATCATATCGTGAACAAAATAGCTGTGTATTTAGGAAATGGTGATGGCAGCTTTAGAAATCCAACCATGTATTCAACAGGTTCCTACTCTAATCCTTACATGGTTACAGTTGCTGATTTTAACAATGACAACCGATTGGATATTGCAGTAGCGAATTTCGGCACTAACAATATCGGTGTCTTTTATGGTTATGGAAATGGGTCTTTCTCAAGTCAGAGTAAGTTTTCAACAGGCTCATCTCGTCCAGTAGCAATTGTTACCGCCGATTTCAACAATGACTCACTACTTGATATTGCCACCGCCAATTATGGAACTCACAGTATTACCGTACTCTATAGAACTCACACTGGAAATTTTTCACTTTCAATTACGTATTCAACAGGTTATGATTCTCTTCCATCCTCAATAGCTGCTGGAGATTTCAATAACGACAACTACTTAGACCTTGCCATCGCTAACTATGGCACCAACAATGTTGGCATACTTTTTGGAAATAGCAACAGAACTTTTGAAAAACAAATCACGTTTTCAACCGGATTAGGTTCTCATCCATATTCAATCGCTGTTGGCCATTTCAATGACGACGGATTTGTCGACATAGCTATTACTAATTTCGGAACTCATGAAGTAGTTGTACTTTTGAACAACGGTAATAGAACTTTTGCTAATCAAGCCAATTATTTCATCAGTTCCGGTTCTCCATATGGAATCGGCATTGTAGACATCAACGAAGATAATCGATTAGACATCGTCATAACCAACAACGGCAATAAAACTGTAGGTATACTTCTTGGATATGGAAACGGTGATTTTGAAAATCCGATTATGTATTCAACCGGCTCTTATTCTTCAGTTTCACTTGCAATAGGCGATCTGAACAGGGATCATCGATTAGATATTGTCGTTGTCAACGATGATACTGCTAGCATAAGTATTCTTCTTGGCCAATATGAACTCTTTTTAAACGAAAAAAGATATTCAGCTGGTAATTGTTTATCTTCTCTAGCTGTTGCAGACTTCAATAACGACGCTCAACTAGATATCGTCGTCGCCAATTCTGGTAGCAATGATGTGAGTATCCTTCTTGGAAATGGAAATGGTTCTTTTGAAAATCAAACAAGGTATTCAGCCGGCACTCGTCCACTATCTGTAGTTGTTGGTGATTTCAACAACGACACTCGACTAGATATCATTGTTGCCAATGCGGGTAGCAATGATGTGAGTGTCCTTCTTGGATATGGGAATGATTCTTTTGCAGAACAAACAAGGTATTCAGTTGGGAGAGAGCCAAGATCTGTAACAGTTGGCGATTTCAACACCGATACTCGACTAGATATCGTTGTTGCCAATTATTTCGGCGATGATGTGAGTGTCCTTCTTGGATATGGAAATGGTTCTTTTGCCAAAGAAAAACGATATTCGGTTGGCCCGTTTCAAACATTTGTCGCTGTTGGTGATTTCAATAGCGACAACCGACTAGATATCATTGTCATCAATTACTATGACTATACGTTGACTGTTCTCCTTGGATATGAGAATGGTTCATTTGCAAACGAGACAAGCTATTCAGTTGGGAGATCGCCAATGTCTGTAGCTGTTGGTGATTTTAATAACGACCATCGACTAGATGTCGTTGTTGCCAATGCCGAAAGCGATGATGTGAGTGTCCTTCTTGGATATGGCAATGGTTCTTTTGCAGACGAAAAAAGATATTTGGTTGGCTCTACTCCAATATCTCTCACTGTTGGTGATTTCAATAGCGATAATCAACTAGATATCATTGTCGTCAACGAGGGTAGCAATGCTGTGAGTTTCCTTGTTGGATATGGGAATGGTTCTTTTGCAGAAGAAACAAGGTATTCAGTTGGCTTTAATCCAATATCTGTAGCTATTGGTGACTTCAACAACGACACTCGACTAGATATCGTTGTCACCAAGTGCACTGAAGATGTGACTCATGATGTGATTATCCTGCTGCAATATAACAGAGGAAGGATAGAATATAAAATGGCCTACGCATCTGGCGGTGGATCTAGCCTCAAATTTATAGTTGTTGGTGATTTGAATAATGACGCTTCTTTGGATATCGTCTTGGCTAATTACGGTACTGGTAATCTAGGTGTCCTGTTTGGATATGGAAATGGTAATTTCGAAAATCAAATGATACTTAGTAATGGCTTGAATCCTCATCCGACTTCAATTACTATTGATGATTTTAACGGTGACAGTATAGTCGATATTGCTGTTGCTGACTATGATGGAATGTATGTAGATATGCTGCTTGGAAACGGGAACAGATCATTTGAATCGCGAACAAGCAAAGGAATTAGTTTGGATTCACGTTTGTTAGCCATGGCTTCTGGGGATTTTAATAATGATAAACGATCGGATATAGTCATCATTTATGATGGAATGGATAAGGTAGATATCTTAGTTAGCTACAATCATTTTTTCTCAGCAGCAAAAAAATATTCAGTTGGCCATGATCATAGATCTATTGCTACTGGTGATTTCAATAGCGACAATCGACTAGATATCGTTCTCCCCAATAATGTCGAGAATTATGTGAGCGTCATTCTTGGATATGAGGACGGTTCTTTTACAAAAGAAATAAGATATACAGTTGGGGAATGGCCACGATCTGTAGCTGTTGGGGATTTTAATAACGACAATCGACTAGATATCGTGGTCGCCAATTCCGCAGGCGCTGATGTGAGTGTCCTTCTTGGATATGGCAATGGTTCTTTTGCAAAACAAACGAGTTATTCGGTTGGAAACTGGCCACTATCTGTAGCTGTTGGTGATTTCAATAACGACAACCGACCAGATATCGTTGTCGCCAATTCGAACAGTGATGATGTGAGTGTCCTTCTTGGATATGGCAATGGTTCTTTTGCAGACGAAAAAAGATATTTAGTTGGCTCTAATCCACAATCTGTAGCTGTTGGTGATTTCAACAACGACACGCGACTAGATATCGTTGTCGCCAATTGGGAAAGCGATAATGTGAGTGTCCTTCTTGGACATGGAAATGGTTCTTTTGCAAAACAAACAAGATATTCAGTTGGCTCTCATCCAACATCTGTCGCTGTTAGTGATGTCAATAACGATAATCGACTAGATATCATCGTTGTCAATTCATATAGCAATGATTTGACTGTTCTGCTTGGATATAAGAACGATTCTTTTCTAAAAGAAACAATATCCTTAGTTGGCTCTTTTCCATTTAATGTAGCTGTTGGTGATATCAATAAAGACGCTCGACTAGATCTTGTTGTCGCCAATGCTCATAGCAGTGATGTGAGTGTCCTTCTTGGATATGGGAACGGGTCTTTTGGAGAAGAAACAAGATATTCGGTTGACTCTCAAGCATTCTTTGTCGCTGTTGGTGATTTTAATAACGACAATCGACCAGATCTCGTTGTCACTGGTTGGTATAGCACATATGTGAGTGTCCTTCTTGGCTATCACCGTACAGCTCTTGCAATACACAGAACACTCATTACTGGAAATGGTTCCAGACCACAGTCGTTAGTAATTGACGATTTTAACAACGATAATCTTATGGATATCGCTATTGCTAGTACAGGCACCCACAATATCGGTATTTTTCTTGGATATGGCAATTTCTCTTTTACAAAGCAAGTAACATATTCAATTCAATCATCTTTATCGCCATGCTCTATAGCTGCGGGGGATTTCAACAATGATTTTCGACTAGATATCGCCCTTGTTAGTTGTGAATCGGATAAGGTTGGTGTTTTGCTTGGATATGGCAATGGTTCTTTTGGAAATGTAATGACCTATTCAACAAGTTCGTACTCGTCCCGATATTCTTTAGCTGTTGATGATATTAATAACGATACTATACAAGACATCATCATCGCAAATCATGACGACAACAGTCTAGGTGTATTTCTTGGATACGGTAACGGCTCATTTGCAAGTATTATCCTATTTCCGTTGGAGTACGGATCCAATCCATTCGCCATTGTCGTTGAGGACTTCAACAATGACAGAAAACTAGATATTGCTGTTGCAAATAATGGAACTGATAGTTTGAATATTCTCTTGCAGACTTGTTAGGCTTTTATCTCTTACTTTATATTTTTCTATTAATCTCTTGTTTGTAATTTTTCTAGATTTAGATAGAAGCTTTATTTAACCGTTCAAATGTTTCTCAGTTCGAAAGATTCATGGAGAAAGAGAGTATATTTGGCAGGTGGATGTGGTTGTGAGATTTAGGTGAAGAAAAGAAAAACGCTCGCAGCTACATTTCAATAGATTTATACAGTCTGTGAAGATATTTTAGTTCTACAAAAATTCTTTCTGAAGTCTTCTCTGAACTTCACAAATTCAAATATAAGATCAACGATAGTCGGAGAAAAACGTTTTTTTCTTGCATGCATACGTAACTCGATAATATGGGTGTAGGTGTGTGCGTGTGTGCGTGTGTGCGTGTGTGCGTGTGGATGTAGATGTGGGTGTGAGGGCATAGGTGTTGGTATGGGTGTGGGTGTGGGTGTGAGTGTGAGTGTTCCCGTTATTAGTATATTCATACCCACACACACACTCACACCCACACACCCACACCCACACCCCACACCCACACCCCACACCCACACCCTCTATATAAATAAAATAATTGATGAAAAAAATTGATTTAACACTTTTTGAAATCATGTTTCGTTAATCGCCTACTATCGTAATATTATAGGGTCTGTTGAAGATTTTCATAGTTTTATACGCTTTGTTTAAAGCTAATAAATATATTTTTGATTGGAGACTTTTTATAAAAATGTATTAAATCGTTTTCATCCCCCGTACCTCAGATTGTTCTTCATGCCTTTTCGATGCTCAAAATAATTAGAGTATGATTTTTTTTAACAGGAAACACATCGAAATAGTGTTGATACTATGTTAAAAACCGCATATATGCATTTATAAATGGAATACTCACTAGTATTAAGTAGTTGTTCAACATCTGATATTTTCAAGTATTCTCTGTTATCAGTTTCAGCAACAATTGAAATATTATAAATTTCGTCGTGCACAGATGAAGACTAGCAAAGCAGTATTCTATCTATTTTTCCGAAGGAAGAGGAGACACACTATGCTCTTCAAGTCGCATCATCAATAAAAGATGTCTCTCATGTTCAATATTGTCACCAAAATGATACTTTCTCTTCCGATTTGTCGTCCGAATTATATTCCACCTTTCGAACACGGGCATCATTCCGTACCCCCTTGAGACATCGTTCATATGATTCTTGACAATTTTAACAAATATGATGACCGCTTTGCAAATAGGGTATGAAATAGTTCTTTTTATTACTGCTCATAATAACCTGAATCATTTAGGATGTCTTCAAATCGTTCGTTTGTTGAACATTCGAGTAAATGATTACTCAGCGATTGAAGATTCTCGGATGTGTTTTTTCTTTTACTAATTGAAGAAGACAATCTACTGTCTTTGCTATAGTGCACGATCACATTTGTCGGTTTAATCACTGGTGGTGGATGCATCATGAATATTTTATTAACAACTCACAACATGTTCAGAAATCATTAAACATTTTCTTGAACCGTGGTTGCCACAAACCACAACGTAATTTCAACGAGTCATTACATAAGTTTCGTAACCTCGTTAGCTCAAGTGTGAGTTTAGCGGTAAGTTATAGCAACCAAGTAACAAGACAACGAGATAAGGAAGTGATTGACGGCGTGCAAATCTCTTGTCACCACTCATTGTGTTTGTGTCGCGTCTTGTGGCAAACACTTCTTCTCTTTCATTGATACGTGACTAATTTCTTCAAATTGCTTCGATTGATGCAATATAATATTTCTCTAATTCTTATTATGTGTAGTTTTATGCTTACTCATTTCAAACAATTTTTTATCGTTACCATGTGTTGCTTTCTCTTTTTTTCTTCATGATTATAATAAATTCAGTCAGAATGGGTTTTTTTTGTTATTGCAACATAATGTTTTTTTTCTTTTGTGGTGTGGTTACACGGCAGTCTAGTTGAAATGATTTCAAAATGCCATCGGCATTCATAAGAGTAGTAAAAGAGTGTGCTGAAAATTTAGATGACTGAAACATGAGAAAGACGTGCAGTGGTAAGATACGTTGATGTGAGGAGTTTTTGTTGTGGAAGTGAAAAAATTTTTTTGAGAAAGCAAATTGAAATCGTTTTAAATTTTCTCTTCAAATGCTTTTTACCTACACATGTATATGGATGTAACTGTATGCGCCATCTAGTCTGATAATTATGTGAAGTTGTTAGATTGCTTAACTGGTCCATTACGAAGTGGTCAATTTAGGTGGATACTAGAAGATTCTCGAAGAATTTAAAATTAAAGTTACTCCTATTTACATTCACATCCAAATAAACTGGGTTGCTAAATGTCATTATTTGTAAGTTAAAGGTGGCCTGTCAGTCAATAGCCCATTCGTAGTGTTTGACAAAGTGCACCAAAATTTTGTAAAGAGCTCTATATTAATGCTCTACATAGATGCGACCTTTAAAATTCAGGTGCGAATCAATCTGATCAGCTTGATTTGAGGCCAGGACCGAATATGATATAGATGTAGTAAGTACGCTTGCATTCTTATGCGTTTTTAAAATTTTTTCTCATCTGAAAAGTGTAGGATTTATTACACAAACAAATAGAGTAACAAAAACAGTCTTCTAGAACTTCATAAAAAATCCAATGAATCACGATAAAATTGAGGTTTTGTTTCACAATAAAGTTTGAGCAATTTTACGACGCATACATTTGTATGTTTTTGACGATGCAACAAGAAAGTACAGTGATGGATGTGGATGTCGCAATGTTTGCAAGGAAATAAAATATTATACCCACACCCACACCCATAGTCTGGTAGGAAGATAGCCAGTAGGCAAGAAGGTCGACGACTAGGTCATAGGCAAAGTTTTTTCCATTGTAGGCACAAGTAAATTTCCCTCGGAATCATTGCAACACTCGTGATAAAGATGTCAGTAAGAATGTGATAAGAACACTGAAATTCCTATCAAAGTTTAAAAATAATAACTGTTCTATGCATATCCGATGAATGTGAGCAAAATAGGTAATGACTAATTATGAATTTTCTCTTGTCAGTTGTTTTACAGAAAAAAAATCATTGTTTGTTATATTCGAATTTACAGTATGTACTCTAATAAAGATTAACGTTTTCGCTATAATTCATAGACAGGCTTGAGAGTAAGCAAAAGGGACATGCAAGATGGCATTTATGTTCATAAATACGAATGTGTTATACGGTTCTATACTAATAGTTCTGTATTCTTTGGTTAAGTTGCTTGCAAATCAATTGAACCTATAGTTGTAGAATGATGTATGTCTAAAGTTACCTAGATCTTTAAATCGAGCCCTATATTTCAGTAATATTCATCTATTTTACATATATATGCTAATTCCTTTTTAGATTGCATTCTCTTTTGACTATATTTTTGGCATATTAATGAAATATCAGAAAAAGAATGCGGCCAAAACGAAATCGAATATTCGAGCATGAACAGTTTGAATCATATCAGTTTGATTTTAATGTTTATGAAGCAGATGAAATCGATAATGAAATCGAGACCGATGTTGAAGCGACATCATTACATGATGATTTACAACAGCAAAACTTAACTCCAGATCAATTACACCATTTATTCTCTCAAGTTAGTTCGGAATTAGTTGCAGAATCATTAGATGATCAAGAGTTTTTTAAACGTGAAGTAACAATCAAACCACCGAAAACAAGTACAGTGATACAAACACCATTCCCACCTCCTCTATCCAATCGTAAAGAAGATTTTAATATTAATGTTGAAGAATTAAAACAATTAGTTAAAACAGAAGCAGGTCCACTGATTATTGAAAGATACTCATCTGATAAAGAAGAAATTGATCATGTATTATCAACTATTACATTGACATTTAATCAACCCATGATCGCTATTGCATCATTAGATGAACAGATGAATCCAGAAGGTCTAGGGATATCGTTAACACCAAAAACAGAAGGTCGGTGGAGATGGATAGATACGAAAACGGTTCAGTTTGAAACAAACCATCGTTTACCATATTCAACAAAGTATATACTAAGAGTCAACAAAGAACTTTGCATGTCAGCAGTGGGAGGTAAGTTCATTTAAAAACAAAGAAGTTACCATGCATATTTAATAGTAGATAACGGCAAAGAATGCAAAAAGAAATAGAATATAGATGACACTTTAGCGAATCACCTAATGATAGTTCTACTCTTTTCAAGAAATAGTTTTTCATTTGAGTTGAACATATTGTATGGTGATGAAGATTTGAAATACAGATTTTGAACATCTCGAATATTTTACGCTCTCCTTCTAAGAGCTTATGAGTTTTTTTTTCGGTTGTTTTCTTTTAAGCTTGGAAAAGCTCACAGTTTTTTTCTTTTCTTGAATCTAATAGAAGAAAGTCCTATTTGTAAAATGGAGCAGGGAACAGAACTTTTACTCGCAACGACTTCAGATTTTATTCTAGATTCTAATTCTTTCAAATGCGAAATTTGATTTTTAGGAAAGTTAGAAGATGAATTTTTATTCGAATTCTCGACAAAAACATTAAAAGTTCTTCAATTCTTGCCACATGGAACAGTTTCAACGTTAAAACCCAAATGTTTTCTTCTATTTAATCAAAAAATCAATATAAATGAAATTTTCCAGCATATTTGCGTAGTACGTGATGATGAACATACTATACAAACTGACGAATTAGAACTACTAGATGAAGAAACAGCAAAAACTGAATTTAAATCATTAATGAATGAAAACGAAGGAAACCGTCAGCAATATATTGCATTTACATTTAAAAATGAATTATTGAAGGCCACACAATATACAATTCAAGTACCTGAAGATTGTCCCTCAGCAGAGGGGCCACTAAAGACAAAATCAGAGTGGTCGGCTGACTTCCATACTTATGAACCATTGAAAATAATTGATTGGCTTCCAAATATAAACAATACGTATCAGCAAACTGCTGTTCCTGGTGAAAATTGGTCACTTACATTCAATAATTCCTTAGATCATTCAACAATTAAAAAATTCATATTTAAATTCGAGCCGAAAGTCGCTATTTTAAGTGAGTATAGACGAAACTTGTTTCATAACATATTTTCTTATTACTTCGTCTTAATAACTAAAGCTCAATAAAAAATAAAACCAATCTTAAAGAGGTGATTTCTTTTAGGTATTGAACAGAGAGAATACGATGATCGAGAAATAATAATACGTAATAATTCTCAACCAAATACTGTCTATTCATTGTTTATACAACCAGGAATATTGAAAGATATTCATGGTCAAGCATTAGAAGAAGACCATTTCGATCAACCAATTCAATTTCATGTAAATGATTCAAATTCGCGATTGTTTGGAGCTTTATCAGGTGAATCAGGTATAGCAAAGCAAGAAACCAATAATATAAAGAAGAAATTTAAGAAAAAGATAAATATTGTCAATAAGATAATTTTTGTTTCAGGTTTAATTACGATGGATCCTGATCTATTAGATGAGCCATACTATTCGTTTATAGTTTTCAACTATTCAAAATTAATAATTCGTATTAATCGAGTGAAACCAGAACATTATCAGTCAAATCTACTATCACCGAGGGCAAGTTTTATTAAAGACGAAGACGAAGATAAAAACGAAGAGAAAGGCGAAGAACAAGAATCTTTTAATGATTTGCCTGGTGAAGAGTTACAAAACGACGTTATACAAACAGAGTGTCAACGAAATGAACCGAAAGAGATAAGAATTCCTTTAAAGGAGTATTTCACAAAATCTTCCGGAGTAGGTCAATTACTTATATTCATCAAACCAACCAAAAAAGCATACCGTGAATGCGAACATAGCTATTGGGGAGATGGCCGAAGTATATCAGTCTGGTTACAATGCACACGACTGGCGGTCGATGTATTTGCTTCCTCAAGTAATCCTATTTTAAAACAAAAGTAGCTAATTTGTTTTCGCTACATACAATTGATTTCATTAGAAATAGCAAACATAACTTAAGATTGATCGCAGTCTGTAGTATGTATCACATCACTCGGGGACTAAATTAAAATTTAGATATAATTAAACATAAGAAAATTTTGTTCTCAATTATTTTTTAAGTAGATTTCACGCCCTACCACCGGAATAATACTAACAATTTTTGATTATAGATAAGAACGGCACAGTAACTACATGGGTTACTAATTTAATAACTGGTGCACCTATCAGTCAAGCAACTGTTTCAATATTGAATCAGAAAAAAATAACAAATAAACAAGGATTATGTACTATTGAAAGGTGCATGGTAGAGAATCATGAAAGAAGACAAGTGGAAAGCGGAGAAAAAGAAATATTAGTCGTAGAAAAAGATGACGATCAATGTATGGAAGTAAATATCTCTCCTAATGAAACAGATGATGATGTTTACGTCTGGCATGTGTTTAATGATCGTGGTTTATATAGACCAAAGGAAAATTTGCATATAAAAGGTTATGTTCGATTACTAAAACAAGAAGGTGAAGCAAAAGTACCTACTTATAGTCAAGATGTAATCAACTACACGATTTATGATTCTCAACACCAACAACTTCAACAGTCAAAAGTGGAATTGAATAAATATGGTGCATTTGATGTCATATTTACATTACCTGATAATGTTAACTTAGGTAAAGCTGTATATTCGTATTTGTTACTTATCCCTCGTGAGCCTTCATACACCTTACGCATGCAATATATGCTCACTTTAGCATATATATGTAAGCAAGACTAGTGACATACTCAAGAGCATCGGTCAGAACAATGTCAAATATTATATTTGGTATTCGAACGATCTGGTTTTTGAGTAACGAGAATTTCATTAGAACCTTTCTGATGCGAGTAAACTCTTTTCATTTAATTTTCCTTTACTATCTTTTGAAGGCTTAAGGAAATGCAAATCTGGTATGTTTACAATCAATGTCCGCCCATTTTATAGAGAATACTGAGTTACATACTCTCTGATATTGTTTTGGCTAGTGGACAAATAGTATGGTTATAATTTTAGTTAAAATTTCGCGTGGTAGATATCTTTGTTAAAAGTGCAAAATATAAGACACAAGGAAATATTTGTAATTACTTAGTTTAGAATTTATACGTCGTCATAATAGTTTCTTTAAAACTTCAATCATTTTCAGATCAGACAGAACAATTCTCGCTTTTATCATGTCATATTGCTGAAGATCTTCAAATTTTTTTAACTATAGAATTAATGGATCAATTTATTTTATCAAGACATGATTTTATGATTATTTTTCAAGTTTTTTGAGAGATCTTCAAAACACTCTATGGAAATCCTAGATATTCTTATTCGTGAGAAACATACAATTATACTTTAAAGTCAAATTTGATTATTGTTTTCATGTCTATATTCGAAAGCTTGTCAGATAACTCGATAGTAAAATATTTTTTCCAAATAAATATTATGTTTTAAGTTTCTAAGAAGTTATTATCAAAGTGAATATTATTGTTTAGTTGAAAACTTCCACCAATTAGATATTTGAACATAGGATAATATCATCGATAACATTGAGATAAAGGTTATCTTAGAATATATTTTAACAAAAATTTAGATTTCATTAAAATCTAATCATTCAGAATCTTTAGATATAGCTGTTCTCATATATTACAAATTGTATTTTTATCTTTACTTTCTGGGGTGTGTGTGTAAATTGCAATGAGTCGGAAAACGAGCTGCATTTTTTAAACTTTTGTTGGTCATTAGCTTAAGCAATTATCAAGAGCACATCTTTGTGATTAATTATTCGTTTTCCAAATTTACCAAGCAAGCTTGTCTTGTTGCATAAATGCTTACAGCCAGTTTCTTGATTCCATCTTAGTCTAGTTTTGTTATACACAAGTGAAATCTACGCTTGAGAATACTGTTATTCTCAATCTACTTAGACCATCGTACACGCTATTATAATTGCGTAGAAGTTTGTAACCGGACATCTGACATATTTTTAAGAGTTTTATCATTACAAAGATTACGTTATGTGACAGAATTATGACACTTCTGCGGCGAAAGAAATTTACTAATACCGTAATAATCACAGTCTCTCATAAATTAGAAATGAATATTTCTGTAATCAGTTGTTTATGTGCATTGTTTTTTAAAAGGTTACTCTTGCGAAAGTCTGTACATTTAAAGTTGAATTAATTGATTTTGAATTTTTACTATTATTAGGTGATGGATACGTAAAGTTCAGTTTATCAAATTCCGAAAATAGTACAAAACATTATTTTAATGTTCAAGAGTTCAGAAAACCAGAGTATCAAGTTTCATCAATGATTCAATCAACAACTGCACATTTTTGTCATCCAACCGTTGATGAATACGTCATAGCTACTTGTCAAGGAAAATTATTTTCTGGTGGCTACTTAAGTTATGCGAATGTTAAGTGGACAGTACAAGCTAAAACAACAACATTCATACCAGCTAAAAGATCTGACTATATATTTGGCAGAGGACAATCATTCTTCTCCTGGTCTGGTGATGATGATGAAACCAACATATCATATCCAAAAAAACATCTTCAAGTAATATAATTTGAATTCAAGCATAAAAGAGCAAGTCATATTTTGAGAGAGCAATTTCGAATTACATTAAAAATAATATAGATACCCTATGTTTGGATATCGTGGATTGTCAGTGGTTAATTGACAAACCCAATATATCTTGAAAATTGCAGATAGAAGTAGACAAATATCGGTTTCAACGTTTTTCTTAAGTTCTACATAATAGAAAATGGGAGAGCATATTTTTAGCAGAAACACATGCATACGGATTTTTTAATCACGACTGGCTATAACTGGAATATTAGATAGATAAAGGTATACTTTTCTAAGATGGGCACTCTTCAACAACTTACGTCTCTTCTAAATGTCTCTAAGTACTGTTGATCTTCTAGTAGATCACCATCTATTTTTCAGCCCTTGTTAGTAATAAAACTATAACAATAACATTATAGTTCGAGAGGTAAAAAATATAGAATTATTCGTAGAACCTATTTATAAATCATTAGACGACAACTTCGTAGTTATTTTAATAAATAATCGAAAACTGTACAAATCATCTGGTATAAAAGAATTAAAAAATATTATATTTTACCAGTTGAATTTTTCGGAGATCATCGAAAGTTTCATGAATATAAACAGATACTACAGTAGTTCAGTTGACGTTGGAAATTTTTGGTTCACATGTGTTTTTTAAATGGGCTCTGCTCGTATAATTTCAGGGTAAAACAAATAATAAAGGTCAACATGAAATAAAAATTACCTATCACGGTATTGAACAAGAACCAAGACCAATAATTATTCATGCATTGGCAGCCATTACTGATTTGAATTCTCAAACACAAGAAACACAAGCAAATTTTCTCATTCATCCAAGCACATATTATGTTGGATTTCAATTCGTAAAGAATTATGGAAAGAAAGATGAACCGGTGCAAACAAAAGTTATCGTAACAGACATTGATGGAAATCTAATCGATAACGTTTTAGTTCAGTGTGAGATAATTGGACATGGCAAGGAAAAAAAAGAAAATCAAAATGGTTTAACAATATTTGAAGACGTCACAGATGAACAAAGATCAACAGTTTTCAGTTCAAATAAAGATGTAGTTAATCTCGATTTTACACCAAAAATAGGTAAAATATAGAATTCGTAAGAACAAAAATTCAAGTTAAATTTCATCTGAGTAAGATTTTCCATTTGGACTATGAATGACACTTTAATAAACGTTTCTAAATTTGATGGAAACAGAAAGGAAAAATAAGCGTACATGTTTTAGTTCGAAAATTCGAGAGAAATTTCTGCTATCATTTTCATGAGTGTAGACGAAAACCTAACAGATATTATTTCATGTTGTCAACATTTAAATAGTTGATTGCTCTGATCCATGAGTTCATTCGTAAATCTTTTGAGAATGCAAGGATGAATACTAGTGTCATTGGAGACACATTTCATAATTAAATTAATCATAGATATTAGGATTGATTTATACACTACAACATAGATGGTAGTCTTAGGTTTGTTTTTGTTGTCGACTAACTACTTAATGCAGACAATCATCGTACAGGTGTTGCACAAGAGTAGAGATGAGCTGCCAAGCAAGTACATAGATAGTGTTCGTTTATCAATAGTCATTAAGAAGCTTAATGTAATTCTCAATTAAAAAAATGATCAATATGCTTTTTTTCATAATATATAATTTCTATCTCGTACTAGGGGGTAGATACAAAATATCATACAGTGTCAAAGATGAACAAGGACGATTAGCTATGAGTTACTATGAAAATTTTTATGTTTCTGGTGGTTATGAACAAGAAGAAGTAAAAGAACGAAAAGTAGATTATATTCCAACTGATAGAGTCACAATTGTACCAAATGCAAAAACTTATCAACCGAATGATTTATGTGAATTACTAATCTTAGCACCGTTTAGTCCAGCTAATGGTCTACTTATACTCGATTGTAACGGTCAAGTCTCACAACCAATACATTTTCAAATAGAATCTGAAAAAGATTCAACAACTCTTGCATTTAAAATATCAAAAGATTGGGTACCAAACTTCACAGTCTACGCTGAACTAACAGGCTCAACTCCCAGAGAGACGGAAGTGAGTGATTCCCTACATCGTCCAGCAATTGCTACTGGTTCAACATCATTAGAAGTATCAAAAGATATTTATAAATTGAATGTTTTAATTAATACGAAGGAAACAAATAAATCATATACACCATCATCAACTATTCATATGGATGTTAATGTTACACAATATGTAGATAAGTCACCTGTAGACAATGCAGAAGTTTGTTTAATCGTTGTTGACGAAGCAATCTTATCCTTAACCGGTCATGAAATAGACACTCCATTAGATATCTTTTATCCTAAACGATCAGAAAATATCACAGAATACCATAGTAGAGATCGTTGTTTGTTATTGAATGCACAAGATATTGAACAACGTAAAAAAGATATACGAGCTCGCTATTTAGATGATCGTTACGGTGGTGGTGGTGGTGGCGGTGGCGGTGGTGGTGATGATTATGAATTGTATCGTATGCTCAAGTCGATTCCTCCTGGCGCTCAGCAAAAAATAGCCGTTCGATCAAACTTCAGTCCAGTCGCATGTTGGACACCCTCATCAATCACTGACTCATTAGGACGAGTTTCAGTTGAAGTCAAACTGCCTGATAGTCTAACACGCTATCGTGTATGGGCGATAGTCGCAACTGATAAACAATATGGTTCAGGTGAAATGTCATTAACCGTACAATTACCAATTATGATTCGACCTTCACCACCGAGGTTCCTTAATTATGGAGATACAGCTTACTTCTCAGTTATTTTGCAAAATCAAACCGATTTATCATTATTATTACATGCTGGTTTGAGAGCAATCAATGCTAAATTATTAACATCACAAACAAATGAACAAACAATTGGTTATTCAATTGTATTACAACCAAATAAACGTGCTGCTCTTAGATTTCCTGTAACAACAATTCATTCTGGTACAGCTCGATTTCAGTTCATAATCAGCACTGCTAACAATGAAACATATGCATCATTTGGTGATGCAGTTGAACTAAGTCTACCTGTATTTACACCAGCAACGTCTGAAGCATTTGCAACATATGGTGATGTATCTGAAGAAATTGTTTTACAACCAATAAAAACACCAAACAATGCTCTTCCACAGTTTGGTGAAGTATCAATAACAACAAGTTCAACAGCATTAGCATCATTAACTGATGCAATTGTCTCACTTTATACATATCCATATGAATGTACAGAACAATTAAGTTCAAGATTATTAGGTATACAATCATTGTGGAATGTTATAGAGGCATTTCGTTGTAAAGAATTATCTGACATATCCGTATTGAAAACTAGATTAGAATCAGATATAAACCTATTAAAGAGTCGTCAGTATTCAAATGGTGGATTTGGTTATTGGACAAATCAAAATAATTCTCATGCTGATCCATATATGAGTATACATGTTGCACATTGTTTGGCTGTCATTGTTAATAAAAGGGTAAGAGTTTTATTCTGTGAGCGATGACATAGATGAGGAATATGTAGTAGTTGTGTAGAAAAAACCTATATTTCAAGTTCGAGAAGATTCTGTTTAATTTAGAAATCTGCTTAATACTGTACTATAAAAATCTTTTACATATAAAACATATTTAATTACTTTAAAGGTATTTCATGTTGATGTGAACATGGTGAAAAAATCGCTCAAATACCTTGAAAACATTGAATCTGAAATTGATCAATTATCATACAGTAAATATTGGTCTGAAAGAACTCGATTTAGTTTGATGAGTTATGCATTATACGTACGAACGAAATATCGTCAAAATGTTGCTGATCAATCTTTAAAATTATTTCAACAAAGTGGATTTGATAAACTTAGTTTAGAAGCATTAGGTTGGTTATTAATAGCGTTATCGACAAATAAAAACAATAATAAAAATGATATTATCGATATTATATACAGATATCTCAAAGGTAATGTAAGTGAAACAAGTGAAACAGCTAATTTTATTACATCATATGGTGATGATGGTCAATCAGTTATGTTACATTCAAATCAACGAACAGATGCTATTTTATTAGAATCATTATTATGCATTGATCCAAACTCCGCTCTTTGTACTAAATTATGTAAAGGTTTACAAGTGCATAAAGTGAAAGGTGCATGGAAATCAACACAAGAAAATTGCTTTGTATTAATTGCACTAGATAAATATTTTAACGTTAAAGAAGAAGATACACCAGATTTTGTTGCTCATATTTGGCTTGACAATGATTATTGTGGTCAGCATCAATATAAAGGTCGAACAACAAATTCACACACAATAAATATTCCTATGAAATCAATCATATCGCCATCATCATCATCATCTAACATAAATAATAATGATAGGAATCTAATCTTGAACAAAGATGGTTCTGGTCGATTATATTATCGCATTGCAATGAATTATGCTCCATCGAATCTGGAACTAAATGCAGTTAATTATGGTTTTAAACTTGAACGAACATACACAGCAATTGATGATCCGTCACATGTTCAGAAACAATCGAACGGAACTTGGAAATTCAAATTACAAGAAAAAATCCAAGTTACATTAACAATGATAACAACACAACGACGATACCATGTAGCATTAGTTGATTATTTACCAGCTGGTTGTGAAGCATTAAATACGAAACTAAAAGGCACATTGGCAGATGATTCAAATTTAACCGTAACAAGGTCAAAAAGAAAGGATAATTATCATGAATGTCGACCATATTCGAGTTTTAGTTGGACTGATCATGAAAACTTAAGAAATGAACGTGCTGAAGCATTTCGATCATCATTGTGGCCTGGTGTATATGAATGGAGTTATGTAATGCGTGCGACATGTGCTGGTACATTTATTATTCCACCAGCTAGAGCTGAAGAAATGTATTCGCCTGAAAATTTTGGTCGATACAAAACAGAAAAAGTTTTTATTGACTAAAAGATATATCTTACATTTAAAAGTTCGCAACTATTGTCGACGCCAGAATTAAATAGGGGTGGGTGTAAAACGAATATCTCGAGAATGGCAGTAGCTAGCGACCTGTGGCTTTCACCAACTGAAAGAGTAGAAGTTGGGACGTCTATTTCTCCGATAATGTATAAGACAAAATCCTTTTAAAAGTAATCATCTTTGAAAAACATGCAAAAGAATGCATGAAAGTGACCTTTTATCTAGATGAAATTTTGATTTTGCCCTTTGATTTAGGCAGAGGGACTTGAGATCTATAGTTTAAGATACAATGCGCTTTTTTACTTTTCATTACATTTTTATCGAAAATCCATGCTATTATCAGAAAAAGTGTGAAAACTTAGTAAAAAATCAGTAAAATTCCCTATTATTTCTTGCATGTAAATACATGATTCCATTTGCTCAATGTTAGAATGCAATAGGAGAACCATTTGCATTGTATCTTAAACTATAGATCTCAAGTCCCTCTGTCTAAATCAAAGGGCAAAATCAAAATTTCATCTAGATAAAAGGTCACTTTCATGCATTCTTTTGCATGTTTTTCGAAGATAATTATTTTTAAAAGGATTTTGTCTTATATATTATCGGAGAAAAAGACGTCCCAACTTCTACTCTTTCAGTTGGTGAAAGCCGCAGGTCGCTAGCTACTGTCGTTCTCGAGATATTCGTTCTACACCCACCCCTATTTAATTCTGGCGCCGACAATAGTTGTATTCTTGATATTAAAAAATAAAAAGAAAATTTTCAAAAAAAAAACGACAAAAATTTCTTACCAACCCAATATATTTCTTGAACAACTCGATGAAGTACTACCGAATGTTTCTTCGATTACGGTTTATATGGGTAAATACTTTGTTGTTAATGTGCTTCTCTCTTCAATCTCAACAAATTTTGTAGAAATTGAAGAAATAGAATTTGTTAAAATAGAAATTATACCATTTTCAATTCTAATTCCTAGAATCAGAATTAGTTAGAAGAGAAAATCGACCGAAAAAACATTTCTCATTCAAGACAACTAAGAATATTCTCTGTCACAAAATTTAACTTACTAAAGATATTTAAAAACATATGATAGTTGAGTTCAGCTCATAGAACTAAAATTGTTCAACCAGCTGGCATTCATTTGAATTAAGAGTTTCAGTTAATTGAAATAGACTAATCGTAAAATTCATTTAAAATCAATTAGTTCATGCGCATGATGTATTAACAATTAATGAATAATCAATTCGTGACTAAAATCACTAAAATATATTGCTAGACAATTTGAAGGAAGTGATTGAATGAGTAGACTGATTCTTGGGTGCTGTGAAATGCCAGACATCAATTAATATTTATCCAATTGTGGCAGCTTTTTTAAAGCTTCGTTAAATATTGTTAGTTGTAGAATTTTAAAATTTGTAGAAAGTGTTCGAAGTCCTAATGAAAACCATCAAAACCGTATAAATATAATTTCATCGTACTAAATTTTGTCAGGTAGATCGCTATGAATATAGAGTTCCAAATACGAAATTCATCTGAATCAAGTTTCTGTATCAATTACCTTCAGTTGAAAATTTAATTCAGTGCTCTCTTATCAGTATATTAAATATATTCATCAATTCATCTCAAATTTTTCAATGAAGTATACAGAAGAAACTTGTTTAGGTGGAAAATGTAAACTTTAATTCGATGGGCGAGTGAAATTTATTTTCCATTGGTTGCAAGGGTGTTGTGCTACGTCTTTTCTATTTGTTATCAGGTTAGATGTATAAGAAACCAAAAAAACTTTGTTCCGGTTTCAGTCCTGATTCGATACCGATAGTTTCTTTCTTGATGGTCTCGGTGATGATCTTAATCCTAATATTTTTTACCTTTTTTGAATCCTTGTTCCTCCTGGAGAACATTTCAAAGCTTTTTTTGGGTTGAATCTAAAAACGTCTTGAATAATCTTTTATTGTTTGGTTTAGTCTGCGAGAGTATCACTTCTTTTTATTTCTTTCGAGTTGAGATGATAACGCTTTATCATTGTTTTATTGGGTTGGCAAGAAAGTTTTGCGTCTTTTTTTTTTTACTAAACAAGAAAATGTATTTTTCAACAGAACAAAACAACCTCAATCAATAATATATTCGTCGTTATTGTCAATAACAGTGGCCCACCTTTTCGGCAGTTGGTAGATCCCGTTTTTTTATAAAAGTCTGGCTCTTTTGAGTCAAAAAAAGCGGTGAGGTCAGAATTGAGAGTGTCGTAGTGTTCAAAGAGTTTCTCAGCTAGATGGTTCCGAAGAGAGCGGAATATATGGTAATCCGATGGCGCCAGATCTTGGGAAAATGGTGGATGAGGAAGAACTCTCCAGCCCAACTTCTGAATTTTTTCTCGCGTTATCTTCGCAATGTGTGGCCGAGCGCTGTTGTGAAGCAAAATCATTCCCTTTCCATTGATCAGCGTTGGACGCTTTTCAAGCAGTGCTTCCTGGACATGCTGTAGTTGATGAGCGTAGACCTCGGTGGTGATGGTAGCGTTGTCGAGAAGCTCGTAGTAAAGTACCCCCTCCCGGTCCCACCAGATACACAAGAGAACCTTCTTCGGATGAAGATCCACTTTGACATCCGGCAACGGCTTCTGCCACGGGTTCAACCACTGTTTCTTGCGGCCAAGGTTAATGTAGAAGATCCACTTCTGATCTCCGGTGACAATCCGCTCGAGAAAAGAGCTTTTTTGGTGACGGAAGAGAAACGAAACGCAAGCTGAAACTTGCTGGACCTTGTCATTGGCGGACAGTTCGTGTGGCACCTAACTTCCATACTTTTGGATCTTGTCAAGCGCATGAAGATGATTTTCGACTGTGGTGTGTGAACAGCCTAGCTGCTTCGCAAGTTCACATGTGGTCTGCCGGGGGTTCGTCTCAAGCAGGCTTTCCAAGACATCGTCATTGACGATCGAAGGGCGTCCCTCACGTGGTTGATCCGTCAAGGTCCTGTCGTCGGAACGAAATCTGGCGTACCAGCGATTACAAGTGGATTTGGTAGTGGAGCCGTCGCCGTACACCTCACAGATTTCTTTTTCTGCTGCCGCTCCTGAGAGTCCTCTGATGAATTCAAACAACATACAGTGTCGAATGTGAAGCTTTTGTGCATCTATATAATTCAAAGCAACTGGTGTCACGTCTTCAGGCCGAGACCGATATGAAACAGAAATCACGAGTTGAGGAGCTTGTTTATTCACATGTGGAAACTAACGATCTAACTGTACAACTGAGAAAAGAATGAACGAGTAACAGCGAACAGCCTATATATATAGTGTTGAAAATAGAACATTCCAGAACATTAAGCAAGAACCCATCCACGAAAGAGGAATAGAAACCATAGAAAGTTCCAGAATGTACTCCAACACTGAACAAGTAGTAGTCACGTGACCCCATACCCACGTGACCTCATGGTCATATGACATCATAGTCATTACATCACAAATTGTAATCGGAATAGTATGAAACCCAACCAAAAGAATAAAATAACTACTCACGAGACAATATTCTTTCCATTGGCACTTAAATCAAGTCGATAGCTTATCAAATAAAAAAGTTACAGCAATGTGTTAAGATAATAAAAAAAGACGCAAAACTTTCTTGCTAACCCAATACATGTTTCAAAAAAATTGTTTCTTCAAAGTATCAGTTCAAAGGTTGAAAATACGATTCTTTTGAAGACCCGAAATCCTCCGTAAAGATTAATATCTAAAAGTCTAACATGTCTGGTAAAGCTTAACAAAAGCACGAATGCTTCAAGCTTGTTACAGTCTAGTGGTTTTTAAAGATTAACCAAATATGATATTAAAACTTTTAATCATTCGAGAACACCTATTAAAAGCATTATTTCCAAACGCAAAGACAGCAAATTCTTTTTCTGAAACTTATTGTGGTAGTTTAAACCGGTATCTGTTAACACTTTAAAACTCAGAGACGTTCTAGAATATGTACTTATCAAATAAATAAATAAATTGTAGTATCGCGAGTCACTATCAGAAGATGCAATGACTTGAGAAGTGACTTTTTGCATTGTGTATCTTTACGTGTATAATATTTTCGTAATTATTAAATGCATTTAATTTAGGATGTGTTCTCCTTTATATCAGACTTATGACGGGTTCACCACATATTTATCTAGCCATTATACAAGTATAAATGAGATATGACACTAGTCGTTTTTACTCTCGGCCTATACCTGTCATCGCTCGAAAAATGCTTTCATTGAAGTTTTGGTTTCCAAATATGATGGCACATATCTCGAAACTATGCTGTTGATGTCAAAAAAAATGAAAAGTAACACTCACATCTATAGTTCGAGTTACCTATTGACATCATCTTGAACAATCATCAGAAAAATATCAGAGTTAGATACAGAAATATTGTTGAAGCTAGGTTAACTTTCATGTTTTTACTATTAAACTTTCCTCCAATGAAGAATGCACATTTATCTGAGAAGAAGTCGATTGAGATAACTACGATGGATAACACCAAATAAAAGCTCAGAAATAAACACTAAAACATATTCTTACATTTATTAGAATTTTCTGAAGCTATTTTATTTGCATTCAGCATCTCAAAGTTGAGTCTATCTTTGTAATTTTTAGAATAGTTTTTCCTTCTTGTCTCTCTTAGTACAATGCGTTAGGCTGGGATATAGACGCTGTCACACTATCCTTTTTTTGAATGTATCAAATCTTTTACAAAAGAAGCTTTCTTCAACGTTTGTATATCATTTGAATCGTCATCGATAGGTAAAAAAGCTACATATCGCTATTGCCTACAGAAATAACAGTATTAACAAGCAGAAAACTTGGCAATTCTATTGCATATATATATCTGTTTGAAATCAATCGATAACTCTTTTACTTGGTATCTCATAGAATCATACTATTGCTCAATATTTATCATGAGAAAACCACATGATTGCATAGGAAATTAGTTTGGACAACTCCATAACTTTGATTAATCCGTAGCTGACCCGACGCAAAAAAATTGGATCAACATTATGATACAAAATTCAAAGTTACGTTTCTGATAAATCAGTATGATACATGAAAGTTTTGTCTTTAGTTGAACGTGAGTTCAATTTTATTTCGATAGTGAAGACAAAAGCACAAATGATTAAGAGAATCAAGAAGAAGAGAATGCCAACAACAACAACAATCCTTTTCAAATAGAAGAAGTATATGTGTAATTATACAACGATAAAATATCAAGTATTATAACTTATGCAATAGAGAAATTTCAAAGTCAATGTTAGTTATCCGTAAGAGGATAGAAACAAATGTAGAGTATCAAATGAAAAGACGCAAACAAACGAACGATTTATAATGATTAAGACAGACTTAAAAAAAACCGAAGCATACAACAGAAAGAGAAAGAGAAAGAAAATGAACATGCACATATATATATATAGTCCATTAAGAAGAATAAATCCTTAATAATGTAATTATGTAAGAAATTCAATAAATATTCTTTGAAGAAAAATGAGTAAGAAGTAAGGAATTGTTAAGTCTATAAAGATGAATTATTGAGTTTTCTTCTTAGTTAGTCATAGGTTATTTTGATCGATTGTTCGATTTCTACATAACGTTTTCTCAGAATTTGTCACTTGGATCGATTTGATTACGATGCGTAACAGTTGTTGTTCGTCGATGGTGTTTCTGCCAAAAATATCGTACTTTTTTCAATATCAACAAAATGCGCAATATAATAAATCTAAGACAAATTGTCAGACCACCGTAGAAACCTAACAATGTTGTTATCATATAAGCAACATTATTGTTTTCATCAAATGTCAATTGACATAAATGAGGAGAACATGCTTGATAATAGGCAGAGAAGTTGCTTGCATAGATCCATTCTTCGACAAATAATTCATCGATCATTGTACCTAATTTTGTTGTCAAGTGCGAAAATCGAGTAACAACTAATGGATTGAGCACAGATGGAACCATTGAACTATTCAACAACGTACCCAGTGTAGACAAACATGTTGAATTGAAGAAACATTCGAGTGTTGATTGACGCAATCCATCTACCGGCAAACATCCACCAATGATGCCTGGTAATGCAATTGTTTCGTTGCCTAAAACAAGGTTGAGTGGTCTCCAACATGTGGGTGACAATGTTGCTGCGCAGGAGCATGTATTATTATTGTATGAACGAGGGATCGTTGCTACTATATAACTTTCTGCAGCTGTCGTAAATGCAATTTCCCAGGTTGTCATAAACATATTCTGCAATTGATTTGAACGAAGTGCGTCTCTAATATATTTGAGTCTATGTAGATATGTGACAGGAGTTTGTTGAATAAACATATTTAGTGCTGACGTAACTTCACTTTCAAACAATTTCTGTGTTAATGCTTCGATACTAACAAATGTTTTTGACGCAAATGTAAGTGCAGCATTTGTTACTGTTTGATTGGCTAATGTGCAAAATGACGCGATCATTCGAAAATAGGCACCCAACAACGGACGATCTTTAAATATGTATGTATTACCCGTGGCTACCACTAAAGTCCACCATTGAGATGTGATGAAACCGCTCGAACATATTTGATGGTAAACGGCTGATACAGACAGAAAAGTACCATATTGTATTGAGGTATGACTACAAGGACACGAAAGAGCATTGGTTTGGCTTTGATAATAAAGCATTTCGAATGTTGCTTCAGACGGTGACTTGACTGTATATGAGCGTGCTTGTTCATTGAGACCGGTGAATATCAGAATAAGCGAGAATGAAATGCAGAGTAAGATTAAATAAATCCGAGTGGCCAAAAATGGGGTGTCAGTTTCATTATTGAACAAGTTGATTGAAAGAAAATTTTGTACGACGCTTTTAATACAAGACCACATTCGTTGGGGTTGATTACCTACATGATTAATCATAACAACAGAAAAACCAAGTATGGTGACCTATTTCGCCGAAATTGTTTTAGAAGCTGTAAGATCCAAGTAGTTATTTTACTACCCATGTCGCCTCTTTTCTATGTACTTCGAGAAAATGACATGTAGTGATTAAATTATGAAAAAATGTTGTGAAATTTTCTCTAAGTCCTTCAGTTTATGCATCATAAAACTGAACCGTGCTATATTTCATTTACTTCGACCAAAATACACTAAGCTGCAATGTAAAAATATCGCAGTAACATTTTCAATAGTGAAACAGCTCAGTATCATTAGTTCGTCTCTGTCCATTAGCAATCGATACGCATCTCTCTATGAATTTCATCAATAAACTAACGCTCGTCGAGCGACGAGTTGCTTAAGTGATAATCTCTCATTCATATAGCTAGTTATTTATCGTTGTTTAGCGTTAGCGAATACCAAAACATAATTCTGGTCGTCAATAAATGCTTTTCAGGTAATGCGTTACGTCAGTACTAATTTCTTTTCACTTTGTTAACCTTTTTGTTTTAGGTTCATCAGAAGTTGCTAACAGACATCTCCATTGGCACATGCAATTGAATTAATACCGATTTATCGTTTAATTCAGCCAGCATTATACTGATAAGCACATCGTTATAGGATCTCGCTCAGACCTTCATACTTTCTTTTTCTTGTCTCACTAAAAGAATTACACTATCTTCCATCATTTCCGTGTTAAACTGTATGACTTGATTTTGCGTTTTGTAACTGCAGGTGTTCGTTCTTTCAGTTAATATATTCATAAATTAGGCTTTTTCTTTCGTAACAAAGTACTTGACCTACAAGTAATTCTGAACGATGTTTGCAAAGACTTTGTTTTGAGCCATCTGTGGAAAAAATATTTTGGTAACAAAGAAAAAACCATATTTCTGAATAAATCAATTTGGGACACGAAAAATTTGTTCAAAACATAGAGTCAACAATTTGATAGATTGGGAAATGATGAAGCAGCACGAACTACTTCTGACTGTAGAGAAAATAAGCTTTTCTAGCGTACATAGCTACAATATGCTACAAGTCACGAGTTCGAATTCTTAATCACTATTAAACATGATAAGATTTTTCTTCTATCAAAGTCGTACGATGTTTAGCTTTAACACAAATCTCATTGTGAGTCACAGTTATGCGTAATTTTAGAAAAGTTTAAGCAGATTAGAGTACATACATATAGTGCTTAAGCATAGTTTAAGACTGTGAGCAAAAACTATGCAAAATGTACACACATTTGAACTTAATGATGACAAATTATTGTTACCGAAGTTGGATTCAACCATCGTTGACCTCATAGAAGGATTTTTTTAAGAATCCACTGCAACAACAAGATTTAATCAACTGTAATATTGGATTGGTGCCTACATTTGCTATTCGAGAAAAACAAAAATATATTCGGGAGGGGGGGGGGGCTATATTTCTTTAAAAAAAGAGAATGTACTTCGTATTATATAAATGAAATAAAACACTATTTATTTCGATTTTCTTGTTTTTAATGAAAAGTAAAAACCCAACCGTTTTTTCCTCAGCAAAAAATAGGTATGAGAAAAAAAGAAGTGGCACTTACATAATAGACTCAGTTTTTAAATATTCGTTTAAAAGTTCAGAGAAAAACATTTGAAATGTTCCAATTATGTGAGTAACCTATAACTCTCCCTGTTGATGTTTGAATACGATACGAAATGGATAGATGATTGGGATCAGTGTCGTAGTAGAGCTCGGGTCAAAACGGAATTCTTTGAGCATGCTTCGGTTTACATCTGAACTCAGCTTAGCATATAGCTGATATGCAAAACTCGGCTATTCTTTGGATTATTTTTCTGATATGGCGAAAACAACGATAAAATAGAGATGAATTTCCCTTTTGATGAAATTGAATTTTTCCTAATGAAAATCGTATTTTTGACGAACAATCAATATCAACGTACCAATCGCATGGCTTGACTCAGTAGTTGTACGTGTATTTCGTAAGAATAGTCGTGATGAAATGATTTTCACGATGAATGGTGCAAGTATTTTAAGTATGACACTTAACCCACCCGCAAGACCAAGAATGGCTGAAATAACTTGAAATTTATTGTAGCGATGTGTGTAAGTATATGTACAAATATGTGGATTACATGCGTTATAATGAGTTGTTACATTAGCTGTATTGATCCAATCTTCAATCATCAGATTTGAGACGATAACTTCCATAGTGGTATTAGGTAAATAACGACTTGGCAAGCAAGCATCAAGTACGGAAACATTTAATGAGATTGGTTGCATCACATGATCGGTTTCAAACAGACGCCAGTCTAACAACATTTGAATACAAGATCGATTATAAAGGCATTCAAGTGTTGACAATAGAAGTGAATTAACTGGAAAACAACTTGTCACCATACCAGGCACAGTTTGGTTAGGTTGAGCGATGTTTATGTGACAATAAATCGATGCGCAATAGAAACCTTGTGGACGTGTACAGGCGTTGCTCGTTAAACATGAACAAGTTTTATTATCAGGTAGAAAAAATGTTTTTGACTGGTAGCGCAGTGCCCATGAATAATTTGATGCTATAATTTATAGAAAAACTAATTTTAAAATAAGTTCTAACGAAAATTTCATAAAAATATGTTCCTTTGACTCTTTTATTTTTCCAATTCTATATATTTATATATAATGATCTTATACTTTCGACGCTACTTGTCAAATTCGAAGCTGACTCGCTATATTAGCTTGTCCGAAAAGTTCGTGCAACTTAGCTGATACTGCATGTGTGAAAAATTTGGTCTACATCATCATGAGGAATGTATATATTTTTCCTAGATTCTCTTTTTTCCACTCGCTTGTACGATTTCTTTTCAATAGACAAAAAAATTGTTTACAATCCTGTCTGCCTATAGGCCACTCATCCATTGGCTACCTATTTTGAGAATCATGATAGGCTCGTTTTAACAGTCGATCAACGACCACAACATACTCTACCCAAGTATATAAGTTAACGGAAAAACAGTGTTTAAGTACAATGATTTAGAACTGCTTAGACAGTGTGACGTGTTCTCGAAAGCACGTTTAAACTATTTAAAAACATTTATTTGTTAAAACGCGTTGCTACTTTTTAAACGAATATAGTGTAAATATCTATGACTATTGGAACATAATTTTTCGGGCATACGTAGAAGAAGAAGGAGAAGAATGCCCCTGCCTTGCGGCTACCTTGCAGTATGGGGTGCTGTTCCAGGACAGTTTCAAAGGCCCGATATTTTCCTGCAACTATTACTAGTTGCAGCTCTGGACAGAAGGCCGGCCTGACTCAAAGTTCTTTTCGCTTAATCGCTTAAGCTTCCCATACATGCTGACTAACCACATACGAGCCATCAAGGCTTTTTGTGTATGTCGACAACGTAGTCAGCGTGCTATCGGATGGGTAGTCCGAGACAAAACAGCCGTTAGTGACTTGTCCAAGGTCATTCTATGTATGATGGCGCCGAGGTTTGAACGCACTATCTTGTGGATATGAGTCGAACATCTTAACCATTCAGCCACAGGGGCTCGGGCATATGTAACAGCTTTGATAGCTACAACGAGTGTAACTCTGACTGTCACTATGAGTCCTCTACTTAGCCACAGCTACACTCTCATTAATACAGAAACCTAGCCACTCTCGTATCTAGATTTACACTCATACTCAACTAAATCTCACATCAATACATCCATATAGTAAATACAATAGTAAACTTTTTACTTGGTTATTATAATCAATTATGGCAGTTTAAAAATAACATTACCTTACTACGTATAATTTATTATTGTATTGGTATGTCCTCATTTTTAAGAAAAAGATATCGGAAACATTAGAGACATCAGAAAAGAGAAGAATGATATCAACACTTAACGATGTATAGCATACACAATAGAATAATTAAAGATATCACAAAATTGCTAATACTTTAACCTTCCACGCTCTTCAGCATGAATATAACAATGTGCTGCATGTTTGTTTGAGTAAGTGACATCATTCTGTAATTTTTTTTATCTCATATAATCACAAACAAGCTCAAATTGTGTCATCAATTGTTCATTATGATTTTCATGTACACAGATTTATAAACTTTGCGTAATAAACTTGAAATAAACTTAAAATACATTTTAATATCCTATTCTGACTAAACATTTTAATACATTTTCACATATATATGATTCTTCTAGCTAGCAGAATTCAGCGAAGAATATTTACTACGAAATTCTGCCTACTTAACTACAAAAACATGCTTTTATGATGATACGATCTTTTTACCGTAGTTTTAGTCACACAAGTATGTTTTAGCGACTATAGTGTAGGAAAATATTTAAATAGTATGTGAAAAGCTGTAGTGAATAGTTTTTGATCATTGTAATATGATCTAAACCCAAGTAGAAACTTCATGTTTGAACGTGACTCATTTCGTATTAGTGAAATGAGATCATTTTAACAGATCATAATAAGATTACACCTATAAAAAATATCAATAAACGCGTTTTTATATTTGAAAACATTAAAAGCGCTTATTTAAAATGTTTTAACATTTTTACAACCACTATTTGTGTGTCTGGATGATTGGGCTCGAATTTGGAGTAGGTTAGAATGCAAGAAATGGCTAACTGGTTTTTAAAGACCAATAATCTTTCTAATTCAAAAATTAAAAACCCTAAACTCCCATCGTAGGATATGCGAAGTTTTCCATTGATCATTTGTTAAACAACAATACGTCGAA